TGATGGTGGCACTGCCCAGCACAGGAGCCCTGAGTTTATGTGGGTTTTATATTTTTTTAAATAAGATGCACTTTACTTTTTTTTTTTTTTTTTTTTTAAATAAAATCTAAAGAACAGAAACAGAATCCTGGCCCTTCCTCTCAAAGGACTGTTACTCTTTGAGGTTGGCCCAGTGCTCTGAGTTTTGGGGAGTAGTTCTGAGCCTCCGCTTTCCAGAGGCTAGTGGCCCAGAGCCACCCTGGTCTGGTCGACGTCATCTCCCAGTGGAACGTGGTCCTGCAGGTGGGAAGTTTAATGCACTGATAGGAGGGGCAAAAAATTAATTCGTTTTCCGTCAACCCCTTACTTTGCACCGCCCCCAGTTCAGTTCAGGGTGGGAACACGGGATTGGGGCGGGGGGGGTTGTCATGGTTTTTTTTAATTATTTTAAAAAATGTTTATTTTTTTAAATGATCACACAGTGAAACTGGTGGTTTTTCTTTTGGCACACAGTTGTCTGAATTTTCACGTGTAGAAATTCTATAAGCACCACTGGGAGGAGTTGCACTTGTCCCGCTACCCCGTCCTGCTCACACCCTCATGAGGGCTGGGCCGGGAGGGCTACAGTCTCACTTCCTGCTGGCCCTTTAGATCCTGTTCTTCCCAGGAGGACCAAAGGCTCCTGGAAGTCCGGTCCTTCCTCATACCAGTGCTTCTAATATCACGCAAAGGGTCAAAATGTCTAAACTTTTATTACGGAAGAGTAGAACACAAACAGCGCGATAACAATGACAGAAGGAGAGAGGCCCTGGCATGGAGGGCCTTCTCCTTCCTCTCACTTCCTGCTGGCCCTTTAGATCCTGTTCTTCCCAGGAGGACCAAAGGCTCCTGGAAGTCCGGTCCTTCCTCATACCAGTGCTTCTAATATCACGCAAAGGGTCAAAATGTCTAAACTTTTATTACGGAAGAGTAGAACACAAACAGCGCGATAACAATGACAGAAGGAGAGAGGCCCTGGCATGGAGGGCCTTCTCCTTCCT